GCAAAGAGGTGCCACCCCTACCTCATCACACGGTTGTGTTACTGCCCCACACATGCAAATAGCCCCTCACTGAGGGTGAAACCTGCTTTTCACATCATGATTGCAGATGGGCACCTGTCATATTTTTAAGTTATTTATTTTGTTCTGGTGACCTGGCTGGTTTTTTTGCGTTTTTTTGTCTTGTATTGTTTTTTGCTTTTTGTTTTACTGATTTGAAAGAGCAAAGAGCTCTTCATTTCTATTAGCCTTTGGCCTGAGGGATAAAATCTTGAGACCCACCCCCACCCCCACCCCTGCAATCCCCCAGGGCAAGAATGTTCTCCCCTCCAAACCCTGCAGTCCTGGGGAGCTGCAGGGGTGGGGGCAGTGGGAGCCTGGTGGGACTGGCTGTCAGACTGACACTGCCTACTCTGCTGGGGTTGTGGGGGCCCTGATGTCCCCCAGGTTCTCCCCTAAAAGGGTCCCTGGCTTAGTTTCCACTGGCTGCCATAACAAATCACCACAAACTGGGTGGCTTACGACAACAGAAATTTATCCTCATAGTTTTGGAGGTCAGAAGCCTGAAATTAAGGTGTATGTAGGCCACTCCCTCCAGAGGCGCTAGGGGAGGGAGGATCGTTCCTTGTCTCTTCCAGATTCTGGTGGCCACAGGCGTTCCTTGGCTAGTGAGGGCACCTCTCAGTCTCTGCCTCTGTTTTCACAGGGCCTTCTCTTTGTCTGTGTCTCCTTTTCCCTCTGTCTCTTATCAGATCACTTGTCCTCAATCCAGGATGATAGATCCTTACCTTAATTACATCTGCAAAGACCCTTTTCCAAATAACATCACATTCACAGATTCTGGGTGGACATATCTTTTGGGGGCCACCATTCAGCCCCCTGCAGGGACCTTCCTCATGACCTGCCTTGAATCCCTGTCACCTGCAGTGACACACTCTATAGGTCTGCACCAGTTTGTGTGATGAGTTTGTTCTGTCTGTTTCTACCACACCGAGGCCCCATTTGAGCCGTCTGCACTGAGATCCCAGAGTAGGCCCTCGTAAGGTCCAGTGGGCTCCATGAGCAGCCCCAAGTCTGAGCTTGTGAGAACCTGCCTGCCTGGGGAAAATGGTTTATCACAAAACTGCAACCTGGGGAGCTTGGAGCAGGAACTGGGGTGGGCACCTGGCCATGGGCACCTCACCCACTGCAGGTGCACGAAGGGCTGGATCCTTTTTCGAGAAGGTGGCTTTACAGAATTCAACATTTCTGTAATGTTCACATTCAACATACCCACGAGACTCAGCACCATCTGCACCCAGATGCAAGGACAATCCCCAGGGTCCTGAGTATTGGGGTGGCATGAGCCACAGCCAGAGGTGATGGGGGTGGAGGTGACACAGTCTCAGTGCATCCCACAGGCCGACACCCCAGAAATTAGCTTGAAAACACTGCTAGGGCCTGGTTTCTCTTTGTGAACAGTTTTAGATTTACAGAAAAATTGCGAAGATAACAGCCCCTCCACCCCACATACCCAGTTTCTTCCATTTTAACATCTTACGTTAGTATGGTAGATTTGTCATAACTAATGAAGAAATTGTTAACTAAAAAATCAAAGGCCAAAGTGAGAGGCAACAAGCATTTATTTGAGATCAAAAAGAACAGCTACTGAGGAAGCACTGATTCAGGCAGAAACCCAAATAAAGTTCCAATTAGGAGACAAAGGCAATGGGTATTTATGAGAAAGGGAAGAACAATTACATCAATAGAAGGAAGGCATTTCTGCTGGTGCAGATAAGCTAACGTAGTGACACTAATTCTAAACAATGTTTTTAATTTTCAGTCTGTTAATCATCAGTCTGCTTTCTTGTTATCCTTGCAAATAGTTGTTTGGGACACAATGTTTCTTTAGGCCCAGTACAAAGATTATTTTGCCCTGTATTAATCTTCCAAAGGTTTGAGGCGTAAGACATGCAAGGCTGTTCCTCTTGATGGCAGCTCTGGCTCCATTTGAAGTGGCTCCATTTCCCCCCTGCCCCCAAAATACTAACACATTATTATTAATGAAAGTCCATAGTTTATTCAGATTTCCTCTTTTCCCCCTAATGTCCTTTTTCTGTCCCAGGATTTCACACAACATTTAGTCATCATGTCTCCTTAGTGTAGTGTAGGCTCCTCTGAGCTGAGACAGTTTCTCAGACTTTCTTGGTTTGATGACCTTGACAGTGTTGAGAACTGGTGAGGTGTTTTGTAGGATGCCCCCAATTAGGATTTGTGTGGTGTTTCTCTCACGTTAGCACTGGGGTGATGGGTGTGGGGAGGAGGACCACAGGCTTAAAGTGCCCTTTTCATCACACTGTGACCAGGGCGCATGCCATCAACATGACTTATCACTGTGATGTTGACCTTGATCACCTGGTTGACGTGGTGTCTGTCAGGCGTCTCCACTATAAAGCTTCTCCTCTTCCTCCTTTCTGTGCTCTCCCCTTTGGAAGGAAGTCACTGTTTACAGCTCACACCTAAGGGTGAGGAGTCCCTCTCCCCTTCCTGGAGGGCAGAGCATTTGCACCAATTATTTGGGGCTCTTCTGATGGAAGATTTATCTCTTCTCCCCTATTTATTTATTCAATCATTTATATTAGTATGGACTCATGGATATTTTATCCTTTGGATTAAAATCCAATACTGCTTTATTGACTTTGTTGCTCAAATTGTTCCAGCTTTGGTCACTGGGAGGTCTCTGACTCAGCTGGGTGCCATGTTTCATTGTCACACCCCCTCAGATTTGGTTTCTCCTTGGCACCTCAGGGTGCTCTGGGCTCATCCCTACCTTTCCTGCTCCCTCCTGGAAGCAGCTATTTCTCTCAGAGCCGGGGCCTTTTTTTAGTAGAAAACAGCAACAGAGGGCCAATGAAGTGGGATCCTGCTGTGCTTTCTAGAACCTTCTGCATCAGAACTGATGTGGGGTAACTGGGAAGACCCGGAGGATAGGTGGGGCTTCCACGGTCTGCTCAGGGCACATCTGCATCACTTGCATCATTTTACAGGAAAGTGGATTGATTTATTGGATAATTTTAAAGTGTGGGAACTGAGACCTCAAAGGACACCGGTGCACGGTGGCATCTCAGGACACCTGTCCTTCACCGTTCCTCCTGGTCCCGTCACTGTGGTTTGCTGAGCTTTGTGTGCATTTCCACTCAGAGGATAAATGTAGGTTTCCAGTGAGGAATCATCAAGTATTGGGTCTTCTGAAAAGTCATGATGCATGTTTGCCACAGATGGCACTAGTTCATTTTTGGAAGTACTAGAGTCATTTGCATCTATGTTATTGCTATGTCATTTGACAACTGACAGTTCTAGCTTCATTCTAAAACAAAATTGGGCGATTTGGTGGAGTTTTGGAGATTTTACAACAAGTTGAAGATGGAAGACCAAACTATGCATTTTTGCCATATTTTACTGTTTTACTTCCATAAAGGGTAGAAGCGCATCAAGCTTGTGAAAAGTTGCATAAATGCTCGGTGACAATGCTCTACAAGAATGTCAGTGCCAACGATGGTTCACAAAATTCCGTGCTGGTGATTTTTATCTCAACGATGCTCCTCAGTCAGGGAGGCCCACCGAGGTTGATGATGACATAATAAAGGCATTGATCGAGTCAAACCCACGTTACATGACACGAGAGATTGCAGAAACATTGAACATCCATCATTCAAGCATACACAACCACCTGAAGAAGCTGGGATATGTAAGCAAGGTCGATATTTGGATTCCGCATGAACTCAAAAGAAGTTCATTTGACGGCGCATATAAACTTTCTGCAATATGCTCATTAAACATGAGGAAAATTATCTTTTTTTGAAGCGACTGATAACTGGTGATGAGAAGTGGATTGTTTACAACAATGTGGTGCACAAACGGTCTTGGTCCCGACGTGATGATTCACCTCAAGCCACATCGAAAGCAGACATTCATCAGAGGAAGGTTATGCTATCAGTGTGGTGGGATTTTAAAGGTGTCATGTTTTTCGAGCTTCTACCAAGGAACCAAACAATCAATTCAAATGTGTATTGTCGACAATTGGACAGTTTGAATGAATCCATCATCCAGAAACATCCAGAGCTTGTTGATTGTAAAGGAATTGTATTCCATCATGAGACCACACACAAGTTTGATCACCCATCAAAAATGATTGGAGCTTGAATGGGATGTGTTGCCACACCCACCATACTTGCCTGACCTTGCGCCATCAGACTTCCACTTGTTTCACTCTCTTCAAAACTCCTTGAGTGGTATAACATTCAATTCAGATGAGGCTGTAAATCAGCATGTTGTTCAGTTTTTCGCCAATAAAGACAGGTCCTTCTGTGAACGAGGAATTATGAAGTTTACTGAAAGATGGCAAAAGGTTATCAAACAAAACGGGCATTATATCGATTGATCTTTGTTCTTTATATAAATAAATGACCTTTGAAAAACATAGACAAAATATGTCATGACTTTTCCAAAGACCCAATATTAGGGCCCTTGCTGTAAACTTAGCTGTAAAGAGCAGGCAGCCACACAGTAAGAAAAAGATTAATTTTCTAAAATTGTTTCTGTGGACAGAGGCTTGGGTCCAAGCTAACTTGAACCCAGTGGGCGTTTGGCTGAGGGTATTCAAGGCCCTCCAGCCTCCATGCCTCACAGCTCACCATGCTGTTGACCTCCTGCTGTGTGACCTCATTGGGGTGGCTTACCCTCTCTGAGTCCACCTACCCAGTTGGTACTAGGTTTAAAAAGCTGATGACTCAGAGGCCTGTTTGTGGTGATCAAATAAAAAGGCTTTTGTGAATTATTAAGCCATCAGTGCAGGGGACAGTGGCATCTGGGTACTGGTGCAGCATCCTCTCCCTGCAGGGAGACAGACGCCAAGTTAGGAAAATTACACCGGCTCAGGCAGTTTGGGCATCAGGTGACTGGGGGACAGGGTGGGTGGGGGAGACCCCTTCTCACCTGGACTTCTACCCTCTCTTGCTGCCCAGGACCAAGTCTCCACCGTCCCCAGCGGCCTGGAATGGGTAATGGTGTGAAGGAAGGTGCAGTGCGATTGCGTGAGGATGCCGAGGCCGTCTTGCCCTCGCCCATCTCTTCAAAGGCAAGTACCTGGCCTCCCCAGGGGTGTTCTCACAGGTCCCTCTCCTGTGTGCATGCACCTGTCACAGAGGAGCACCTTCCTTCACCCCTCTCTCGACCCCCACCCTGGTCCAGGGCCAAGAGATGCACAGCGGCTTGAGTGTTGAGGCCTTGCTGGGCTCTGAGCGAGCAGTTTTGAGTCCAGGGGTCAGAGAGTCTTCACTGGACATGGTCCCCAGCAGAGCAGACCCCTCCCCTCCCTCTCTGACAACAGACCGTGTCATTGTGTGTTTCTTGCAGAGTGATCACAGGCAAGTTCTCAGCTCCCTCTTGTCAGGGGCCGTGGCCGGCGCTCTTGCCAAAACAGCAGTAGCTCCCCTGGACCGAACCAAAATCATCTTCCAAGGTAAATGCTGTCTGTCAGTCTGTCCTGTGCAAGGATGCTGCCAGGCAGTCACCCGCCTCCTCCATGGCCCCCTAAACTGCACTGAAAATTGGTTTTTAAAATCCCTCCTAAATCCACTTAAAAACTCTGTTAGTGTCCTGGGACAGCTATCACAAACCAGGCGGCTCAGAATAAGAATTTATTCTCTCACAATTCCAGAGGCTAGAAGTCTGAAATCAAGGTGCTGGAAAGATTGGGGTCCTTCTGGGGGCTCTATAAGAGACTTCCTGCCTTTTTCAGCCCCAGGTGTCCTTGGCTTGTGGTGGCATCCCCCCAATCTCTGCCTTCCCCTCAATGCCTTTGTCCTCTCCTCTTATAAGGACACCCGACATTAGATTAGGGGTGACCCCACTCCAGTACAACCTTGGTTTAATATAATGACATCTGCAAAGACGCTGTTTCTGATTAACGTCAGTCACAGGATTGGCGGGGGGTAGAGAGCGAGGGCATGGATATGTCTTTTGGGGAGACACAGTTCAAGAAACCATCCCCCCTCTCTCCTTAGGGTTAAATAGGCACAGGGTCCCCTTAAGATGAGGCCTTTCCTTCCTGTAGACAGTTACCGGTGCATGCTTGGCACTGGGCAGAAGGATAGTCACAACACGGGACCCCTGCCCCGTCAGCTCTTTGAGAGGAGAGGCCCTCCCCAATTCCTGAAGCTGGTCCCCATCAGTTTCCTCATCCATACAACAAGGACAATAACCTCAACAGCCCCGTTGAGGGCTGTGGGAAGAGCAGGCACTCGGCTGAGCTCCCCTGTGTCTGCTCCCCCATGTCAGCAGCGCTGTTACCTGGCAAATGCAGCGTAGCGCCCTGCAGGGAGCTGCGTGTAACTCTGAAGGCAGTACCTGTGCGCACACAACCACACAGACAAGAATGCAGGGGTGGCCTGGGAACACTGCAGAGGCTCAGGAAGTGAGGAGGGAGAGGCCGCAAGACCGAGACCCATCATGGCCTGTTTCTTGATCCTTGTAGCCACCATGGCTCCAGCTCCTGGCGACAGTACACCAAGGAGCAGGGGAGTGAGCTGGGCAGCTACAGAGGGTAGGAGAGGCAGGTTAGGGGCACCTGTGCTGGGCCATCGAGAAGAGAGGGCACACCCCAGGCAGAGACCGCCCTGGCCTTGTCCTGGCAGAGCTGGAGCCCCTGGGCTGATCCCCACATAGCTAGCAGCTGTGATGCCTCCCTCAAAGGGGTTTGGTTGGAGTCCAGCTGGTGTGGGAGTGCCAAGTGTTGACCCTCCAGAGATGTGTCCTACCACAGGCCCCTGCTGTCCCTCACTGTCCTGGGGGTCAGATGGCAGCTCAGCCCCCCTTCCTGGGGACAAGTTGGCATGCAGAGGGGCCCAAGGCACAGGGGTGAGGAGGTTTCCTGGAGGAGTGACCCTGCTCAGGATGCTAGCCCCTCAGCCCTTAGGGGAGAGCATTCTCAGGGGCTGCTATCACTCCCCAGTTCAGAACAGACCCCTGCAGTGGGAGTCACACAGACTACGGAGTCCTGTCCTTCACATCTAACAGTCTATGTTGTGTTTTGGTTTTTTTTCCAGTGTCTTCAAAAAGATTTTCTGCCAAGGTGAGCCACTAGGTCACCAATCCCTGGCTCTGGGGCTGTCACCAGCTACCTTGCTGGGCTGGCAGGAGGGGGTAGAGGCCTGGGGGAGTGGGGAGATGCTTTTCAAGGTGCTATTTCCCTTTGGTTCCCCCAAGGCCTCCCCTGCCAGGCCCCAGGGCCTGGACGCATGTCCTGGCACCCTGAGATCTGCCTCGAAGCAGTGCGCCCTGGGAACTGAACAGGAGACCTGGGGTCCTTGAGGCGGTGGTGCGGGGATTTTATGCTAAAACCACGTTTTACTATGTGATTTATTTTTAAACACAGAGCTGGCTTACTTAATAAAGAAAGAATATTTTTGAAAGCTAGACTACCAGACAAACGCCGACCAAAACACACCTTCTGTGCAGAGCTCTGAACCTGCTCTGCAAACCTGGTGTCCCTGCTGGACAAAATTAGGCGGGGTGTTGGCGGAGGGGCTAGGAGGCGTGGCAGGCGGAGTGGGGAGGAGGCAGGCTGGGGTGGG